GAACATAATATCCAAATCAAATTTAACTGTGTAATATCTTCATACTTTGACTCTACTCGAGCAGAATTTGAAGCAATTGTCTATCTTCTACTTATTTTCCCAATAAACTTACAAATTAATATACATCTCGATAATCTATCAGCTCTAAAAAACATCTAATTATTTTCTTCTTTATACAAATTCTTATATATTAAAAACTGGGTTATTTTATTTATTATCCATCATTTTATTCAAACTAAATCTCTCAAAATCTCTTTTTATAAAGTTAAATCTCACTCTAATAATTCTTTTCATAATCAAGCTGATCTCTTAGCTAAACAAGATACCTCTAAACACTTAATTAAATCCAACTTTATAATATTATTTCTTGATTATTTTATATGACATGATTACACAATACCTACTAAAACCTGACTATTCCTACAAAATACAATTACTATACAATTACTTCTCTTTTGGTCATAACTTAAATTCTTCCAAAACTCATTTTCTATTAAATGGTCAATAAATGTTGATATTATTAATTCTTTAAATAATGATCAAAAATTCTATACCTTTCATTTTAAAATTATTAATAACAACCTACCTACTATGCAAAATCTTAACTTATAATATCCACTCTTATATACTATTTCAAATTGTATCTATTGCCAAACTCTTGAAGTTATATTACATCTCTTAATTTCAAATACTACTCAGTAATTAAATATCTCTTCTGAACTTTTAGATAAAATCTATATTATCTTGTCATAACAAACAAACACTCCATTACAGTATCATTTACTTAATCTTATTAAAGACCTCTTCTCTATACCTCACTACAATAATGTTAAAATATTATTTTATAAAACAACTTCTTCCTTCTTTATAGTTCTATCAAATGCTATTCTAAATTGGTTTCATCAACATATATGGCTATCATATAATATTCTTCAAGAACAATGGAAAAAAGTTCATAATATAACTAAAAAGTCTAAATGTTCAAAAATATATTCTTTAACTCTACCTTCTCAATCTAATTCTAATACTACCAATACACCTATTATAAATTCAACTATATTTATTAAAAACTGGTTAATTCTAGACTATACACTTACTAACTGTATTTGCTAAATGTCAAGACTATCACCTTAGATTTCCTCCAATCTTTCTATGCTTAAAATTAATTTAAAATAATTAATAATAGTGTTATATAGAAATGGAGATATAATATCACATTAGGTGTCTTAAATAAATAACACAAATGTAGTTTAGAAATCTTTAATGTAATTACTTTTATTACTTAATAAAGTTTCTATTTTGATATAACAAAAAATAAAAAAAAATAAAAATTTTTCAAATATATTATATATATATTATTTATTAGATTTCTCTTATATATATAATATCTCTTATACATAATATATAGCATATATTTTTTATATTTTTAATATTTCTTATGTATTATTATATTTAGTATATTCTATTAAGATAACTTAGTTTTATTGTAATAATTTATATATATATAATATCTATAAAAATGCTACTTTCTGGCTTTTTAAAAATGTTAAATATTCTTATACTTCATATAAGTGTTTTCATATACTTAGAAGTGTCTTTATACACTTAGAAATGTCTTTATATATTTTATAGTAAATAAACTAAATGCAATATTTGGTATTTTCATATACTATCTATTGTTTTCTCTGTCTTCAAATCCCAAATCACTCTGTATTTTGTTAAGTCTTGTGTAAACTTTATATAGAATCTGTTAAGTTATAGTTATTATATTATAGTTAAACAGCTTCTATTATTATTGTAATTAAAGAAAAACTACAGATTAACAGTAGGTTTATTTTAGGATTATAATCAATAATAGTATTAAATGATGATTTGAAATTAAAAATAATTTGAAATAGAGATATGAAAAAGATTTTTTAAATAGTTTATAGTAATGATAAAATGTTTTATTGTATAAGTAACAAAAAGAAGCAAGTAAAAAAGATATGAATTAGGTAAGAAAATTAAGTTTTTTGAAATTAATAATAAATTTTTCAGAGAATCAGTAAATAAGTCTCTTTGAAGAAATTTAAAGAAATATTAGATATTTAGATATTTTCAAGATTGATAAAAAATAAAATTTTTAAAACAACCTAGTAAATTTTCTAAAATTGACCAATAGAATTTCAAAAAGGAGTTTGGATAGAAGTTTAAAAAGAAATATAAATAACTTAATGAATTTTGATCTGTAAATAATAATATATATGTTAAAATGATCGTTTTGAAGAATTAAATATTTTATTTAATGAATAAGATAAGTTTGTTTAATAAAATTTAGTGAAAATTATGAAAATATGTTTTTTAAAAAATGTTAGTTTATATTTAATATAGTAATTTAAATTTAATAAAATTAGTATAGTTAGAAACAAGAAGTTTAGTATATTTTGTTTAATTGAGAATAAAAAAATATAATTAAATATAGATTAAAGAAAATTAAAAAGTATATAAATAAGAATAATTTTATTTAAATGTAAATGTTTTTTATATCAAAGGATTAAATATAAATAAATTTATATTGATTTTAGAACAAAAAGTTGTAAAGAAGAGGTTTAATTAAAAGTTTAAAGTTTATTAGTTTAGTAAAATATTGAGAAAAGTTGAATTGTTTATCTAAGAAAAGTTGGTTTTAGTGATCTATAAAGAGAGTTAGATGATTTGCATCTATAAAGGTTTTGTTATTCAAAGTATTTTATATATAATTTTGATAATAAAAATATTTCAGTTATTCTTTACTTATTTTGAAGTAATTCTATAATTTTGTCATAATTCTATTTAATAGCATTGAAGGATTTAGTATTTTGTTTTGATATTTGGTTAAATGATATTTATCTATAGTTGATTATAGTCTTATTCATTATTAATCTATATGTTTTCTTTTGTTATGATATTTTGTTTAGTTACTTGGCTATAAATTCAGAATCTAAATTCTGTTTAATGACTAGTTATTATATCAACTGATTTAGTTTTCATTCTATTATTACTTTCTTCATTGTTATACATAGTGTTTTGACTAGTTATTATTGTTTGAATACTTTTTGTATGCTGAGTAGTTATTTTATTATCATTTTGTTAGTTGAATCTGTATCTGTCTCTATCTGCATGTTGTTATTACTATTTATGATAATATGGAACTGACTATTATAGAAAATAATTATCTGCTCATTGTTATTGCTTATTACATTGGCATTTGTGTTTCTAGAATCTGTTACAACTGGTTTGTTGTTGTTATTATTATTGTGTGATGATGTCATTATATTTTCTAATAGGGTGTATCCAAATGCCTACTTTTTGTATTATTATTTGATCTAGAAAAAAGTATATGTCTTTTTTTTATTGTTTTGTCAATATAGATCTTGTCTATTTTGTAGTTAGTTTTGTCTTTTAACATTTTATTTGTTACTTTGTTATTCATTAGTTATTGTAACTGTACTTGAAAAAAAAATTCAGATGTGAGATCTTAGGACTGTTATGTGTTTTCTTTAGTTGTAGTAATGATCTCTTTATCTCTTTTCCTCTTAATCTTTAATTTGATTGTCATTGATATGTTTATATCTAATTGCCAGTTACTGCTACTAGGCTCAAGCTTAGCTTTTGTTGTATAGTTATTTAATTTCCTTTACTTATTTGATGTTATATATATCCAATTTTTATTTTTCTTAGTAAATTAGGATCTATGAGAAAGAGTTTGTTGCTGTAACAGAGCTCATCTTTAAAAAGAAAATATTATAAAAGCTGTTGTACTAAATAGTATGCAAATTACTTCAAAATTAGGTAATAATTTGATAGATACTTTATTAAGTTTTATACTAATTATGACATTTTTCAAGTTAAAAATCAATGATTACATTTTTGTATAAATACTAATTTTGAGTCTAATAGAAAGTCTATATAAAGGAGTTAATAAGCACTATAAAGAATGATTTTTCCTTTTTGAACTAATTGTACCATTATAGAATACTTATTCTGATAACAATTATAGTATTAAATAAAGAATTCTCTTACTAACCTTAAATATTTGGATTTCGCTTTTCTTGTGATACAAATAAATACTGGCCTAATAACCGTTATATTTCGCCAACTTTCGAATGATTTACTCAAAAAACTTTAATGTTAACGACACTGCTAAATTGAAGATATGTGTAAAGCTCTCCCAAGTCATTACACCAATTTATTATTTTCCGAGCAAACAAAATTTAATTCAGTCATAGACTTGATTTGGATGTATTCACATCACATCTAATCAAAAGTTTATCAAAACTTATCGAATCAGAAAATATTTGGTTAGCCACTTTTTGCCAAATTTTCTAGAATTTACGAAAACAGTTATAATATAATATAGTTGGAAGGCTTTAACCTGATCAAAATAGAATTTTTTAACATATTAACGATAGATTCTACTTCATATATAGGCTACGCAATTCACAAATTGTAATAGTACTTCATGTTATACTTTAGATTATATTTCAAAGTATATCTAATTTAATTCTTTGAATTATATTTGCTTAGTCAAAATAGTACTATAGAGTCGTTCTGGTATAGGTGTAGTGTTGAATGGTTTTTTTCTCTTTCAAAATATATATCAACCACCTCGAAGCACTCCGTTAACGTCCAAGAAACTAGTAGGTATAAAATGATCCATTGATTTAAATAATTAAAATAAGATATTCAAGAAATATTTAAATGTTCATTAATAAATGAAAATAAATAAGATGATAAAAGAGATTCTTATTGAAAATATGCATATGTAACAAAGACAATATGAATAAAGAATGATCAGAAATAATTATCGCAACATAATGATTAGAAGGATAGATAAATTAAATAGAATGATTATAATGATTATGTGAAAAAATAACATATAAAAGGAGGACTATCAAAGAAGTAAAAGTGATGAGAAAATAGAAATTAAAATGTCGAGAGGATGAAAATAATGGGAAGAAATAGTTGATAAAATCGTCAATTCAAGGAAGTAAATGTTTGAAAACTGTTGTTAAGAATGACTGTAAGAAAATAAAAGTTAGAAATGTTGCATTTTTGTTATGAATAAACCTATGAAATCAAAAGATAACATAAAATCAATACAACTAATAACAAAGTTAAAGATAAAGGTATAATTAACAATAACGCATAAATCAATGTAAAAAAGTTACAAATTAAAGCTATGCAACAAAATATAATAAATTTAAAATAAAATATAAATCTTTTACTTATTCTAAAAATTTTCAAAACTATATTCATTATTGGATTATAATTATCCAAAGTCCATACTTCAAATTCTTCAGCAATTAATAGGTTTGAACTGGTTATTTCATGCTCATAATTTTTCCGATTACTAGTCCAACGATTTGAAAACTGCATACATAAATCTGATTCTCCAAAGCAAGGACCGTATGATTCATCATTCAAAATAGCCTTATCTTTTTTTTCTATTATTATTCTACTTAATACTGGATTTAATTGATCGGTAAAGGAAAAAATAAAACTATTTGAGGTTTTACTATAACATTCATGCCAATTTAATCCAATAAATGGTACTGAATAAATAGAACGAGGAAAAAATGATCTTAAAGCTGGATGAAAGCATTTTGCCATATATTTCACAAAAATACGAATTCTAATAGAAAATTTATTCCAATTTACAGGACTATATCCACCTATTAATTCACCCGTGTCAGTTTTAAGTACCACGATAGTTGGACCTTGAAAATCACATAATTTATGAAATGTATCAACATCAAATCCATCTCTGCTTCCACGTAATAAAAGCTTAATCATATATGGATCTGTAACACAGTCATAGAAATCTTGATCTTTTTTATCAATCCAACTTGAGATTATAGCCTTATTTTTATTGTTAATTAATATAGAACATCTTCTTTGAGGAGTTTTATATTTAATAAATGCAGTGGAATCCAAGTGGTATTGTTTAATTTGTTTGTCAATATAATTATTTGGAATGTAATAACAACGAATTAAGGGAATACAATTAGAAATGAGTTCTTTTAATGTATTGAAATGGTCGTCAGACCATCCTATGGTATTTTTATCAGACCAATTTGTAATATTTTCATCAAAAAGCTTAGAAACACCCCATTTAATCAAATATTTCCAAATTTCTATTTCCTCAAGCTCAAGATCGTCACATTCTAAAAGGCAGATCAAAGCAGCCTCATCCAATAATCGATAATCAGGTGAATCAAAAAGAGAGTAAGGATTTCTAAAAACATAATTAAGAATATGATTGTATAATTTATTAAAATGATTGTGGCGACAAATAATATTAAGTGATGCTAAAATATCAGAGAATAACCATGGCGAAAACATATCAATTAAATGATTTTGAGCATCTTCAGCAAGATCAAGAAGCTCTAATTCATCAGATGCAACTAGTATATTTAATGAAATTTCGCCTGATCCCTTGCATATATTTTTTCCAGTGTAAATATAGCTTAAAAAAACATTTTATTAGCAAAGCAATACATTATTAACATTTGGTTGATAGATATTTCAAATTGCACAAAACTTACTCAAGAATTAACTTAAAAATAGTAGGATGAATATTTGGCTTTCTAATAATATAAATGCCATGTTTTTGATCCTTCCATCTTTCTGATAATGCCCTTTCAAAATAAAGAGAGCAATAACGTAAAACTGTAGAGTGTGCACCAAACTCTTTAATATTTGGTTCATTTCCAACGATTATTTTCACATCAAAATCGCTATCAGATTGTGACATTTGGGTCAGTTATAAAAAAAATATGCACACACCATGTACATAAATAACATGTACGCACATACGTACGTATATACATACGTTACGTCCTTTTAAATAAAAAAAAATGATTGACAAGGCGTTTACTAAATTCTATAACAGTTCCTATTGAGGACGAATAGAAATTCCATATTTGATTGTGATCTCTCAGTGTCAGAGATTTTATACCGTCAAATAATTACATTTATGTTAAAGTATTATTAGAGTTGTATAAAAGTCGAATGACATCTATGCAAGAAATTTTTGTCAAAACACTAAAGGTAATTTTAATTTACTACCGATTTTGAAAAACTGATGTTTCTTCTTATTTGATTGGTAGGTCAAGAACACAGTTGGTTCAGTTTGTCCAATCAGAAATTGTGTTTTGCACATGCCTGGTAAAGTATGTACGTATGTATGGTGGTACCATGACCTATATCACATATCTTATCCCATGTTCATAATATTCTTTGGGCCTAAAGTGAAGCAATAAGAATCATTGTTATAAACTGTTCTGATGTTACCTAGAGGTGCAGACATATTAAGGTTACGACTTTTACTATCAAAGGTTGCAACTTTTGTATGTAGTAATATAGGAGTAAGTAGTAATATAGACAATGGTTTGTAATAGATTTCATGATTTATAACACTCATAGTATAATTTATTACATAAATCGCTGTATATATGTTGCATATGAAGCTGTCACCTATTTGAAGTAACACCTGATTAGAACTATGTGCACGAAGGTCTAATTTCTGGGCTTAATTCTAGTCAGTGCTACTTTTAATATCAGATAAATCGCAGATGCGACATTTCAACTGTGAATGTCTTCTTATTTGGAGCAATACAATGAGATTTTATGTAATTGCTTTCATCGACTATTTATTTACCAAAATAATCAGGCCAACCTCAAAAAATAGCATTGTCACATTTTTTATAAAATTTTTCAGCTTTATCTATATCTCCTTTAACATAAATGAATATACAAATTTTTATCATTTTACAATATTATAAATTTTTTAAATTACACTAGCGCTAACATGTCAATAACACTGGTCAACAGTGAATCTATTAAAGTTACAAACTTTAAATACTTCATACTCATCTATAGAAAACCAACCATTTACACATCTAATCGACTTATCATAAGCATCTTTTTCACAATGCCATTTTTTATGATAAGTGTTATTTCCCATTCCAAGATCATTACTACTAAACCATGGACCTGAAGATTTTGAACTATAAGAGATAGCACGTGAAGTATCACATATACGACTAAGAGTAGAATTTTTTAAGTTACCATTTTTTAAAGAAAAAATAAAACTATTATCAGTAGTAGCATTCTCATCATTCTCGCTAATTTTCCAGATTAGAGGATTATAACCACCAATTATTTCATTCGTGTCCTTGAGCTTTAAAACAACCACGGTACCAGGTATATTATCACATAGCTCATGAAAGGTTTCACCTGTAAACCCATCCCTACTACCTCTAAGCAGAAGTTTAAATTCATAAGGAATTTCCGAAATATCATAAATTGAAGAGCAATGATCAATCCAAGAAGAAATTTCAGCAACGTGCTGTAAAGTAATTATTGAAGAAGATAGAGAAATGGTGGGAGACATTTGCGTCAAGGAATTTTTACGAGGAGGTAAAACAGGTGATGTTATAGATATAGCTGGGGCAACAAATTTTATCATAATATCATCCCATAAGTTCTTTTCAAGAATATTTTGATAAGGTTTGACTTTTGTTATAATATCTTCACCAGGGATTTGAAAATATCTAATATAAGGAAGACAATATTGAAGGGTAGATTCCAAAGCTTCAAAGTTCTCGTCAGTCCATTGTTCAGGTTTAGGAGGCAAATTCGGTGTTCTCGCTTTTCCCCACATAATGACTTTATCCCAAATTTCAGATTCATCCATTTGTAAATCATCATGCTTTAAGAGTGCAATTAAAGCATTCTCTTGAAGGGAGTCAAAATCATCGGAATCAAAAATCAAACTAGGTCGTTTTACAAGGATTTCATTACAAAATTGTTGTAAAGTTTTAAGATTTTTATGTTGGAAACTTGTTTGATAAACAAGTGAAAAATTTGATCGTAACCAAGATTCATTTTTATCAATCAAAATAGATTGAAGATGGTCAACTAATTCAGAAAGCATGAATTCTCCAACAACAATTAGTAGGTCAAATATTGCTGGTGCTTCGAGATTTTCTAAAGAAATTACACCACCATAAATGTATCTATATAGGTAAAATTTTATTACTTTTTTTGCTTTTTTTATGAACGATAAATAATTGACAAAACTGTTTATATTATACTTCAATAACTTACTTAATGATAATGTTAAATGCTTTGATGGTAATATGAGGCAAACGAATTTTAATAATATCATTTTTCTTAGTCTCGGCAGCATTTTCCAATTGTTGCCGAAAGTAAAAAGAACGTTGATATAATATCACTGAATGCGCTTTGAAAATATGATAATTTGGTTGTTCTCCAACTTCAATTACTACATTGTAATCGTAACAACTTTCAAGAAGTTGTGTAAAGTCTTGAGAAAGTTGAATAAAAAATTTTTCTGTCATTATTTTTTTTTTTTTTTTTTTACTACGTATCACTACAATTTAGCAAACATGTCGATATGTTTATAACTTGTATATACTTAAAAAACTGCATGTCCGCCGATGTCATATGTACATGCATAAAGAATAACAATTCCGTATAAACTAGTAAATATTTTGAACGGTTTGTTCAAATATGCAAGCTAAACACATCGTACAAATCAAATATGCAAATTCATTATGAAAACAAATAAGTTATATAGTCATATATCAGGTACGCATGTACGTATTTACGTAATTATCAGTATTATCTTTATTAATGATTAATGATTCAACTTCAATGATTAAGTCTTTAACTAAATTGCCGTAAAATCAAAATTAGCGTAGACTGCAAATATATAATATATATTAGAACATTATTAAAGTATATACGAAGTCGTTAGTTATTACGTGGAATTTGTCCTTATCTTAGTCGTGTAGTGTAAGTTTTTTTTTTTTGAGAATATTAGCAGCAATTATGTGGGCAAAAACATGAGAACGCAACAATTCCAAATTTGTTAACTGAGCAATTTCGTCTTTAAATACCACTTTAGCTTATGCAGGTGCAGTAGCAGTAGGTACGTTTTAATTATTCTAAACTTGCTAGTGCATGCTTGCAGTGCACAAATTCCAGCATGACTGCTGTTACCCATAAAGGATCCTATACTCCTATTTACGTAGTTGTTGTATCAAACACGGCGACACTGTACGATAATAATATAGCATTTATTAAAATAACACGAAGAATTATTATTTATTCATTTATCTAGAATTCATTATTGTAATTACTTTTGCCTTTTCATAGATATATCTTCGTTCATGCCAACTAGTGATGCGTACGGTAGAATTGTCCCAATGATTTCCGTAACTAGTTATGACATCAGCTTTAGCTAGCGTAACATCATTGGGACGACCACACACTAAATGTCAACGCTTTTGATTCCTTTAGAAGTTGCATGTATATACTCATTAACCGTTAGGTATGTACTTGTTTTTTCTTATTGATATATATTAATTAATCAAGCGAATTCTTATTTCATTGGATTAATCATTAGACTATAATTTATTATGAAAATGTCCGCATATACTATTAAAACCCTATCGCTATGGATTCATTTTCATTAGTGTGTTATTTGGATACGTGATCAGCCACATTTAGCCATATTTCCTTATATACTAAAACGGAAAATTTTGTCTACTACGTACTATGATCTTAATCCAATCTTAATTATATGCAGTGCGTATATGACCTTGCGCTGCCCCAAAATTTCTTATCGTATTCAGGTTGTATTTATAAGATTTTCTAAGTTCGAAAAAAAAGTTCTTTTTTGTTTACCGTTTTATTATTATGCATACTGTATGCGTTCTTTCTTTTAATTTTTTAATTAATAAAAAAACAAATCAAGTTATGTCGATTTTGTTTCGGGTTGGCCCGAAAATTTTACTAAGAGTATATATTCACTTTTTTGGGTTTGACGGTGGGCCAGCCTGAATATGACCTGAAGCCTTCGGGATTGGCCCGACTCAATCAGATCACTATCTGCTATGTACAATAAATCATTCATAAGTGCATTCCCTAGGGACGAACATTTAATGACATGCACTTAGAGAAGGAAATGTGCATTTATCAAGGTCATATATATGTTGTAGATAGGAACGGATTTAAGTGGATTTGGAATTTCCTAGTTAAATTGAGGTTAGTGCAAAGGTGTTCATCTGATAAAATCAACCCTAAAATGCTGGTTTCAAATAAAAATTCTAATCCACTTAGATTCCGTTTCCATTTACAACATCTAAATCACATGACGTAAATATGTCATTTATTTTTTTTGAAATTGATGTCAAATCTTTAATTCTAAAACATGCTACATTATAATATCGATAGAAACCGATTATATGAATAGAATTGAACAAAATTATTACATGTTTTGTATATGTTAATTCGGTACGCACGTACATACGTATGAAATATCGAAGTTTAATCATGTATCAGCTTTGTCAGAGATACTGTGGAAGATTAGTAGCATCGAATAACTTTAACCTCTCATTAAAATATAATTTCTAAAAAAAATTAGTGCAGAAAAAATTTGCTTGTACACTTGATTAGAGAAATTTTTTAAATTAGTAAATGTTTTCTTGAATAATTATCTCTAATACAAGCACTAATATGAACGAGTCTTAAAGAATTTTCTATCATGTGACCAGATTCTCTTTTAATAAAAATTTTCATCCCAAAAATTTTTTAAGTTTGTTAATGTTAGGGTTAGTGCCTAGGCTAAGTTAGTATTGGATAGTTAAGTAGCAAGTCGCTCAAGAAAAATCTTTTTGCTAGTGATCCAAAAGTGGTTTCTTATGCAAACTTTTGAGAAATAAG